GCAATTGCGATATTTAAGAGAAACACGTGCACCATGCCATGAATTCTTGGATCTTTGAAGATGGTAACGATGATGGATAGATTACCAATTAAGGCAATGGACAGCAACGTGAGAGACAGCGTGGTGAAGACTGGTTTTAGCGTATCGTTAAGCTCCATTAGCTCCTTGACCTCAGCGGGCATCGGTGGAGGCATGAAGCGGCAYATGATTTTACCACTTATATTGAGACAGTTTCGAGGAACTGGTGGAACTGTTGTGTTGTTCATTGTACTGTTTTCTTTGTTGCTTGTTGGTTGTACTGCTATACCTTCGTGTTCTCGGTTCTTGTTTGAGTTTCGCTTTTTCTCCTTCTTTTTGAAGCTCAGTTCTTAATGTTATGTTGCCTCTTTCTTCTTCAATCTTGTTGATCTTTTTCTTTTCTTTCTCTTCTTCTAATGCTATCTTCTTTCTTATGGCTTCTTCTGCTTTGCTTAGCCTCTTCCCTTTCTCCTTCTTTACACTATAGCTCTTCTTGGTATTTTTCCTTAATGGCTTGGCTTCTTCTTGCCTCTTACTTTTTTCTGCAGATATAAGTGTTCGATATTAAATATCTTTCTTTTTCGTTTCTCTGCAAACTGATCTTTAAAACAATACATGCACAGAGATCCTCCAATAGTTTCAATTGCTCGCCTCTCGTCCGTCCCTATTGCCTTACATTTACTGACATTTACTGATAAAGCAGTTTCTAGATCCCTCTCTTTCTATAGTACAATAATGGACTTGATATATATCAGTCAATTTCTGAATAAATATTTACGTTTAGTGTGTATTCTTTCTTCGAACTCTTGCACGTTAGGCGCCTTTTCTCGATATTACGTTTGCTCTCACTAACCGCGTTTTGAATATCAAAAAATTGAGATGTTGTCCGGAAAGAACCCCTGTGTAAGGTTGTACTGTTACCGCGAGAGGATTTGTAAGTCCTACTGAGAAGATGCGCGCAGTCGTCCTCTTCTTTTGAAGTGTCCTCTGCTTATAAATTGATTTTGTTGAACTTGGGCAAGCACCTGCTCTATGTGAAGCAATATTGTATCTTCTGACACCATTTTGGAACTATTTTATCGCCTTCTAGAGCTGATTATGAAAACTAAATTAGATACAATGACATATTTTGAGTATTTTAACCGTCATATTATCGAAAGTTGAAGCTTTGAAGGCCTTAATTATGTAATTTAAGTGACCGGCCTCCTATCGTGCATTTTCTGGGATAAAAAGCTGTCGAGAAGATTTTTKRMYTTTTTKRAARKTWAWKGGATTTTTAGTTMTTGAATTAATTCCAAAAAGGTCGGGATCGTCAGYWAGACTGATGTTATTGAACAGGTTCAGGAGGAGAATCTTTTCGGCGATGAGTTAGTTTGTATTTTTAGAGGATTAAAAATGGTAATTGATAGCAATCGAAAAAACAATATGATGCTATCAAAACTACAGAAAGCAAATACTAAGGACAACCTGACAAAATGTAGGAAACGAAACGATTTTCATWCTCGTGAAAATTAAATTTAAGCYAATCAAAGCTGTGAACATATTATACGACTTTTSGACACTTGGACGGAAAATTACAGCAATTTTAAGCCTTTTTAGTTGCGACAATTTGTCAACACAGTGGAAATAAGTTTGCTCAATATGACAGCTAATATATAACTGTCATTATTGCAATTTTCAATGGTTTTTTGTATCGAAATTGTTCAATTTGAAATCTTTTGTTCATGAATTGGCCTCCAAATGGGAACGATAATTAATAAGTTTTGGAAATTTTTTGCTGAAAAGATCATATCATCTAATTAAAAGATTTTTTTTTTGAAAAATGGTTTCATTTCAATGTAAAGTGGTTGGATTCATTCTATAAAAACAATTAGCTTTAGTTTATATGCGTTTTTAGCTGAAAAAAAAGAGAATTTCCTCTTGCTGGACCGCTTAGTTAACAAATATTTTTGTATTGATGTTTAACTGATTTTCCATGAATACTTTATACATGCTCTTGGACATTTACCAGCGGATAGTCCGTCAAAGCTCGTAATATATAAAGTTTCATTAGAAAAGATTTTCATTCTTTTCAAATTAAAAAAAAAAAACATTAGACATTGGAAGAGAAGAAATATAATTGTTTAAAAATCCGACAACGAAGGGACTACAGCTAGATAAAAAGCAATGGATTTGATTGAATGAAGTTGTGTCATTACTGATGGATTATGCGTCCGTGGGGTCTGAAATGAAAAATTTGTAGTACTAATCTAGTTATTGTTTTATTATCTCGTAAAAAAGTCTATAAAACATAGRCTTTCTCCCTGATTCTATTGCGTTTTATTTATTGACGCTATATATAGGTGCTTGCGCTATGACGTCATCGTCGGCGTGCAAGATAGAGCACAATTTCAGCGAAGTATTATTGCACCGAATTTGCTTATTATGGTTTTGCTAAGTTTCTGAAACAAGCTAGCTAAAGATAATAACTTATAACTTTAAATAACCGAAGTGATCCAACGGCTCTTGGGTTAAAATTGTATCCTTCCCTTCGGCGGCACTGAAGTCTATTCCTTTTCAGGCTGAGAAGGAGGCCATATGGGAATGATTACCAACACAAATACTAGATATTATGACAAAACGTACCATTTTCTATATAGATATTAACAAAAATGTCAACAAACTAAAAAAAATTCAAGGTTGCAATTAAAGTACTTTAGCTACTTTCCGACTATTATGACCAAAAAGTATTTCTATATTCGCATATATCTGAATGTCATTGGGTTTAAGAAATATATATTTTCCTTTCTTTTTTCTAGATGTTTTTCTTTTTTTGTTGTTGTTGCATTTTTGCTTTCAATAGAAAAAAATATCTGATGTGCACAGTTTACTTCAGTTGGATCCAAACCTTGAGTCATTAAACTGCTAAATTTACAGCAAAGATCGGAGAATTAAAGTTACCGTACAGAGAACAATCACTTAATATAAAACATTTTGATTATCGTACTTGTGGGAAATTTCAATCAAGTATGACTTTATAATTTGTTTATGTTTTGAGACTTTTATCCGGTACTAATTCTTCATTTCTATTCATGTTTTTGGCGCTYTATTGCTTTGAATGTCTTATGCAAACATCAAACAATTTCGACAAATACTGCCTTAATTCTAGGTTTTATTAACCAAAGTAAACGGCCGGCCATTTTGTTTTCAATGTTATCCTTATCTTCCGATCTTCGCAAAGGGCCGCCATTTTGAAAAATTGAAAATGATTTTATGAAAATTAATTMTTGTTATTTGCTATGTAACTATGTGCTTGAAATATTACATGTTGCTTATTGAAAAATATACGATTGTGCTTCCATCCCGAACATACCCTGGTTCCAGAGGATTGTCTTCTATTATTTTGCTTACTATGTTATCGAGCCGCGAAGCGGCGAGACGTTTCCGTTAATAGTAAGCAAAAGAATAAGAGACAAGCCTCTGAAACCAGGGTATCCCGAAGAAAACTTGCGAGTGAATTCTGTAGTTTTATGCAAAGTAGTAGTTAATTTTTATACTACTTTTATCTGTAGAATTTGGTAAATATTTAGCTGTGAAATTCATCTGAAGTCTTTAGTTCAACGTTTTGTTTTCATAACAGTAAATCTAACCAATTATAACGTGAGAAAAAGAAGAATTTGCCGCAAACGTTTTGCATGTTTTAAGSACCGCCTTGGACACCTTTCCTTTCTCGCAAAAATTTCACACATACACGAATATTGCAAATGTAATTACAAATATAACCGCGTTCATCTTGACTAAATTTTCTTAAATGAAGTAATTAGGGATAAATCTGATTTCTAATGGGATTTTTACGATCAATTTCAGAATTTGTTGATGGGCTAAAGACGCTACAGGACTGTCTTAATCTCCACCAAACACTTGAAAACACCGAACGATCAGTTGCGGCATTAGACTGGACTGGTTGTCCCTCTATTAACTATGGTTGCGCTAAATATCTTTTAGACTACGAGTGATATTAATCATGAACTCGTAAAGCCAAGTGCATGTAATAGTAAAAGCATGTGTGATACAGCGTTAAAACAATAAATGCATCCAAAATAAAAAGCATAACTACCATACGTTAAAATGAATCTCATACGTTTATGAAAACCAATTCTAAAATCTTTTTGAATGTTCAACGCATGCAGTACGCTGTACATATTATGGGAAAAAAGCGAATCTTTTGAATTATATTTTTAGACACTAGCTAATTTGTGATGGATAACCCAGTGAAATTAGTTTTCAAAAATTTTCCGGAGTTGATTTATTTAATAACGATAAATTTAAAATAATTAGCTGACTATAAAATGTCTAAATCTACAATAAATTGAAGCTAGTTAGCTTATTACTTAACACGAATCCATGCACGCAGCTCTATAAACTCTGCAATCGCTTTCGTTTAATTTTCTTGAAAGCAATAATAATGCTGCGAGAGTGCCGTAAGCTTTTGTGAAAATTAGATCAAAAGCAATTGGTTTTTAAAAATGGTACACCGGCATAACTTACCCAGCTGGATTTGAAAAAAGACTTGCTATAATTACAATTATTAGAATGAAGAAGTGCAAAAATAGACCAGCAAACGAGCTTCAAATTCAGGTAGCGACCGGTTCACGACCAATTTATAATTTCATCCGTGAGCCAGCATAACCACGTTTGGTACGTTACGTTACGTTATGTTACGTTCCGTTCACTAATAGTCATTTTAATTTTGTTCCCAAACGTAGCACATCGTACGTAACCGTGGCCGGTTTTAGTACCGCAGCTCTTCACCATTTGCTTTAGTACGAATGCTTTGTGCTATTACCTTTACGTAGCGTATCCTGGCCAGTACGTAATGCATTGAGAGTAGTTTTGGAGTTGCTATAATGGACGAAAAACCTAACGCACCGCGTAATTTGTCTGCGCAACATGAGTACCGCAATTGCTACGGCTTTAGATTGGTTCTTTGTTACTCTGAGAGGTCAACTGAGTGCTGTACCTAGTACCGTTACGTATCGCGTAAATGTTCCATACGTATATTCTAAATACTGTCTGATGACTGCGTAGCACGAAACTCGGAGTTACAGCAAAATCTTTGCCTCTTTGATATCATATATATAACTAGCTCTACACTTTATGTGTATTGAGCACTCTTTAATGGGATCAGCTACTTCCTCATACGATTACGTATATTCTACAGAGTCGCTTTAKAGTGGTCTTATAACGTTTCGTAYAACGTAAAACTTACCGCGCAACTGTGGGATGGTTTGATGAAACTCARTGAAAATCTTATTCAAGTCGTAAAGTGTTCRCGCTAAAAGAACTTTGAGCTTACCCTGCTACTTACAAAGACAGTGCTATCTGGACTTGATACACTTAACTTATCTTGTACTTCTTAGTAACTTTCACACTTTAAAGACAGCACTCTCAAAAAAACCTTCACTAAATGGGCTCTGTTAAGAGTGTGGASTGGCTCGCACCTGGCAGTTGTGAAAATAAACATGACTCGGACTCAAAACAAGTATCTTTGCAAATGGGATTTTTTCAATTATCTTTTATTATCCAGCTTATGCAATATTTATAGACGTGCACTAAGCTCAAATATTGCTAATTAAAAAAAGAAATTCGATCCTTTTTTTAAGGACAAATTGTGAATTCGAGGTTTGGGTTTTGCTAATAAATTTATTAGTTCCCTTGGTGAAAATTAAAGGTAATTTTTTGGTGTTTCTTGGAAAATATAGCTGGACAAAAGTCAATAAGTTTGGTTTATTGTGTGTACAGAACAGACGACGCTAAAACAGAAGTCAATATACTAAAACGGTTTTGTTTACCTTAAAACATAAAGAAAAAATTTCTACATGTTCAAATTTCTTGAAGCAATAGCACCAGAGCTCCAGAAATAGATGATATTACATGGGAGCACGGAAATACGGATTTTATCTTCGAGTGTTGAAAAGATCGAGATTTTCAACACGCGCCGACGAGAAGATGACCAAATGAACATGTTATATTCTGTTTATCATATAATTACATATTATAGCAAATTATGTCGCAAAAACCTATTTTTCTTCTTCAATTTCAACTTCACTGAATTGTATAGAGAGAAACCTCGAATGTGTTATTTTCACTAGTGAAAATAAAAACTTTACTTAATGGAGAAATATCGGCATTTTAAAGATGATGATGATAAACTATAGACGTGTATATCAATTCTTAAAGTTATTTACCTAGGAACATCGTTAGTATATAATTTTTTGTGTTTTGATCAAGAGAATTTAGATAAGTGTCTGGTGTTTTTGTACTATAGTTGTACCACGCGGGTGRCCGAGCGGTGAGAGCGCTGGCCTGTCACCTCTGTGGACCCTGTTCGAATCTCGGTCGGGGCGCCATATGTGATATGAGTTCCTTTCGTTCTCTCCCTTGCGTCGAGGGTTTTTCCGGGTCTTTCCGGGTTTTCCTCTCTCAGTAAAAACGAACCATTTCTATCTGCTGTGCTCCGCGTTCAGTCGTTCGTTGCTATGTAAAGGAAGCGCCTAGCCGGCAGCACGCCTATGTGTAAGTGTATGTAAAATGTGTCTCGGCTGTAATATAGCACTTCGACTTGAAAGCGCATCGAGCTGCGTCTTTCGCAATTCAGCACCCATGCTGCCATGAAGGACGATTAGCACCCAACACCTTTTCAYCTTTTCCGTTTCCACCAAATCATCCTAGTATAGCCAAAACCTAGTACGCAATGCAAGCGTCCTCGGGGCTCCCACTGAAACTCCCTCAGATTGTGAAGAGGGATTAATCAAATCAGTAATATCCCTTAGAGGTAGTCTATTACTTTAATACATGCATTAGTACGTACTTTCGGAGGGCAATGCGTCCGCCATCTTGAAAAGTGATGCCCGAATCACTATGTTGTGCCTTAGAACACATTTCGTAGTTTCTATGTCAACTAATCTATCATTACATTGTGTTATATTAACTTGACATTAACTGAGAAGCTTTTAATTAAGAAATATAAAAMGGCGCGCGTGTCTCTGTCCTCTGGGAGTTAGAAAAATACGAGAGAAGCAAGCTTAGGAACACGAGCGTAACTTATATAAATTATATAAGTTATATCTTRGTGATTCGGGGCTCACTTTTCAAGATGGCTGACGCATTGCTCTCCGAATATTCTAATGCATGTATAACAGGAAACCTTTGGGAGACCGAGTGGCAGGTTAATATTTCAAAATATGCGATAGCTATAAATACTTCAAAAATAAATAATCGTATTTTAGGATTATTTACAAACGTTTCTCGCCCGTAACTTCATTTTAGTTWTTCATGCAGCCACATGACCAGGAATCCAATGAGAAATAGCGAGCAATTAGCTATCTCCGCCATGTTGGATGAATGAACAAGAGAAACTAATGAAGAATGCTTTGTGATTTTCATCCAACATGGYGGTGATGACGTAACTTGCACGTCAAGAATTATTAAGGCGGCCGGAAAGTTGCTTATTGTTCCTTACTTACATACTATTTTTCGGATTTTTATTGTACATTAAAACTCCCGCTCATTTAGTGCATCAAAGACCTTTATTGAGCGGGAGCCGATTGTCACGCTAAGTGTGACAAGAAACCAACGGGCCCCTCGAAATAAAACGTCATGATATAAATCGACATCTTTTTTAGTTGCTAATAAAGTTATAACAGGACTTTCCATACTTAGATAATACTTTGGAGATTTTTCTTGTACATTTTAAAACTCCCGCTCATTTTGTGTATCGATCAAAGACCTTAATTGAGCGGGAGCCGATCGTCACCCTACAGACTGTTATCATTATCAACGAAGTTTACTTCAAAGTAGTATTTCAAAGTAGTATTTCAAAGTAGACTGCAAGGGTATAAACCTGTCAAAACTCGAAGAAGTATTGTGAAAAAAGTATACCGCACTTGATAATTACATTTTAACATTTGCGCAGAATTCATCAGTTCTACGGGTAATGAATATTCAAGCCGGCGCTCAGATAATTCCGTTAAAGTTAATGTCGATCACTGAAAGCTATTACTCATGGATATTACAAAATAACCTTGACAGCTGCCATTGAAGTTCCGAGTAGATAAAACTTAATATTATATAATATTGTCTTTTATGATTTTATTGTAACGCACTAAGAACTCATTTTATAAAAAAAAAATTAAGTGAATATTTTACAGACAATATACAATATTCTCTAGAGTGTAGTAAAAATCAAAGTGCAGTTAACTCTCTTTGAACGACCACTCTAGTAAGCGACCTTCTCTGGTAAGCGACCACCTTTTAAATTTCCAGTTTTGTTCAGTTTCCCATATAAACTCTGGTTAGAAAAAACTTTTTCGTAAGCGACCATCTTTCGTAAGCCACCACTTTTTCCTGATCCCGTATTTATCACAGGATGTACGAATAACTCCCCTCAAGTCGCAAAATCAATAGAACGTTTTACATGCGAGGATCTCTCACGATAAAACTCCTAAACGCGCATCAAAGACCTTAATTGAGGGGGAGCCGATCGTCACCCTAAGTGTGCTGATAAAGTTATATAAAAGGTGTTTTTTTCTTACTTAGATACTACTTTGGGGATTTTTCTTGTACATTTTAAAACTCCCGCTCATTTTGTG